TTGGAGTTTGGCTGTTCATTTTGCCGCCTGAGCGAGTGACCCAGGGTCAGCGCTCAGCGGTGGTGGCGCATTCACGTGACACGAGGTGCTCACCGTCATGCGTGACACTCAGGACCGAGTGAGCCAGTGAGAACTTGGATGTATCCCGGAGGTAAAAACGGGTGAAGGGACAAGGGGAAGCCCAGGAGGCTGCCGTGCAGATATCTTCCACAGCCATGCCTCTAAGAAGGGCAGTGGAGGACGCCATTGCTCGCGTAGAATGGGCTCTGATGCCAGGCGAGGGGGTCACTCCCGGTCAATATGCGGATCTGACACCAGCTGTGGGCTTCACCCTCAGCCCCTCACCGCATGAGCTGTGCGCTGTCAGACGCTAATGAGGAAGGAAGCTGGGACAAGAACTTCATCTCTTGAGTGTGCATCACAAATTTTCATGCTGAACACCGTGAAGTTCAGGCTCAGTGAAAGGGACATAAAGATGGGGGTAACTGTAAATAGTTTCCATAAACTGGTTTAACTTCTTATATTTCAGTAAATTGCATAAGTCATGACATTTTTTTTTACCATAAATAAACCTGGACAAGAACAGTTGATATTAAAATAAATGTGGCGGAGGGGAATATGCCACCGCCTTGTGGGGGGAAATAATAACCCCTACCCTAGGGAAGACTGAGTGAGTTACAGGATCTGGGTCCCCCCACCCAATGCTTTTGGTCTCTATCTAACCATTTGTATAGGTTGGTGCTTATCGTGTTGCTATGATGAGCTACAGCCAAGGTGAGATGGGCTCCAGGACTAACTTTACACATGATGGCCGCTGGAGTGTGTATGTGTGCGTGCAGGTGAAAGCTTTTCTTACATGCACAGCCCACCCTTCCCAAGACAAACAAGATAAGTGACACGCCCCCACTCCTTAGGGTAGGAATATAGCTTAAACCAGTTCAAGTTAACGAACCAAAAATAATTTATTATAGCAAAGTATTAATATAAAAAAAATAATTAATAAAACAAATCGTTTACTCCTCCTTTTGTCTGGTTCCTTACAAGAAAAGTGATCTCAAACTTCGAACCCCATTCAGAGGGAAATTAAAGCCATCAAAAATAGACAAAGAAAATATCAATTACCAGTACAATCCAATCTCGTACGGTGATACTCCAAAATGTGAAATATGACTCACTTGGTAACAATATCCACAGCTCCACTCAAGAGAGTCTTTAGCACAGTCCAACCTGTATTCTAGTGGAGAAGAAAAGCTCACTTGCTTACCAACATTCCGTGTAAAAGGCTGGAAACAGTGTACATCACTACACTTGGGAGATGGATGGAGCGCTGGAGGCTGTCCAGGTATGCAGGGTTACGTTACTCCACTCTATGACCCTCCAACGGGTTATCGGTCCACACATAACTTATTACAGTACCAAAGTTATCGAACTTCGCCCGTTCTTCGTAAACTTGTCGCAGCTTTTTTCTTCTCTCTCCGCCCATCTCCCCACACACACGGCACCACCGGAAGACAGCGCAATATCCATGAACCATTTCAAAATAAAGGTCTAATAAAAGTCTTTGCGCAACAGAATTTGTAGGACCCCTACATAATTTTAGGTGCATAAGCGGGGTTCGGTCTGAGAATGGCCGCGCTACCGTCTCCGCGGATAAGGAGGCACGCCGGTGAGACAGACAGTGCACACAGATCGCCCACGCGCTTGGCCGAAGTCAAGGCTAGGAGGAGCGCTGTTTTCAGGGAGAGATGTTTGAGAGAGATGTGTGTGTTTTGTCAGATTTTGCTACCTATCAAAACGTGCTACCCACCGTTCACAAAGTGGTTAGGGTTAGGGGGATGGATCGGGGTGGGGTTAGTCAGTCCATAACTGCGCATGCGCAGAGCCTAATGCGCATGCGCAGACAGTTTGGGTATGAAGATCTGATAAGGTATGAAGAATTGGCAGAACATGTGCCATGGGCTCAAAATGAGGCCTGCTGAGCGCGCGTAAAATCAGAGGCAGATTCCACTGTGGCACCGTTGTGCGAATTACAGGTCTCAGTCTGCCCACACCCCTGAGAAAACGTTTTACCAGTGGGTGTGCAAACGGTCCTCTCGCCAAAACCTTCATGGCATGATGAGATGGCGGCGGCATACGCTTTAACAGTAGACAGAGCCAGGTTTCTTTCAACCAGGGTCTGTAGAAACGTCAGCACCTCAACCACCGGGCAGGTGGTGGGAGCTGTGCCTTTCTCCATGCACCATCGCTGAAAAGCTGACCACTTTCCAGCGTAAGACGCCGTTGTTGACTGAGCTCTGGCGTACTGAATAGTGCGCACCACCGCTGGAGGCAGTCCTATGCTCTCCAGGCCCACAGCCGCTGACCTATCACGGGGAACTGCTGGATCGCGCCTTCCAGCTGAGAGAGTGCGTCTCCCTGCCAGGAGAGTTGCCAGGGATCCCCCGCCAGCAAATGAACCATGGTCGGAAACCAAGCTGCGCTCGTGCCCTCCGGAGCTATCAGGATGATGTGCAGCCGCTCGTCTTGCACGCGTGACAGGAGGCGTGGGATTAATGAGACTGGGGGGAACGCGTAGAGGAGAGCCCTCGGCCAGGGGTGGTGAGCGAAGGCATCCACCCCTAGAGGCAGGTCGTCCCCGGCGTACAGTGAGAACCAGAGGCAGCACTGCGCGTTCCCGTGTGCTGCGAACAGGTCTGCCACCGCTCGGCCGAACCTGTCCCACAGTGTCTGAGCTAGGGCCGGATTCAGCCTCCACCTGCTGGGCTGGGGTCCGTCCCGTGACATGAGGTCCGCGGCGCGGTTCTGCTTGCGGTGGACGTGCACGGCTCTGATGGAGAGCAGGGTTTGATGAGCTAGGAGTTCCCGTGAAATTTCCAGCAGCCGGGCAGAGCGAACACCGCCTTGCCGGTTTATGTATGCGACGGCTGTTGTGCTGTCCGAGCACACCATGACGTGCCTTCCCCTCAGCACCGGTGCGAAGTGTTTTACCACCTTCAGCACCGTAGCTAGTTCCAGGCAGTTGATGTGGAGAGACAGGGTGTGATCCCACCGTCCTCCCACAGCCTGTAACGGACACATGCACTCCCAGCCGAGCAAAGAAGGGGCTCTGACCATGTTGTTGATGGTGGCTCCAGCCTGGGAGGCGCATTGGTGGATGCGGTCCGTGAGCCGAGCAGTGACCTGGTCTCGGGGCAGTGCAGGAGTGGGGCGCTGTTTTCCGAAGAACGCCGTCTTAGGGAGCAGGATGGAGGAGATGCTGGTCTCCAACAGCGGCACGGCGGGAAAACCCAGGTCGGTCATCCCCTCGACTCTGGTGAGAGCCTCATAGCGGGGTACTGGAGCCCACAGGCCCCCAGGCCGTTCTCCTGCCTCGGAGAAGAAGGGCTGAATCGCTGGGAAACTGGGCCAGACAGGCTTACTCAGTTGCTCCGCTCTGTAGTAATCTCCCACCATATCCGAAGGGGCGGCAGGTGGTGCAGCTGCAGGAATGGGGATGCCTTTACGGCCTGCTGCCTTGGTGATAATTCCCGGCAAGTAAGGGAGCAGGGCACCAAGCGCTGAAGGATGGCTGGTGGTGGAAGTGTGCTGCTCAGCCGAGGGTAGTTTGTCTCCACCGGTGCCCAAATCGACCATTGGGTCGATTGGAGAACCGGGGGAGCCGGCTATGGGGGGAAACGGGTCATTGGACCTGGGCCCCCAGCACGCC